AAACAATTTTTTTTAATAAGAGGCAAAATTTGGGAGTATTTCGCTATGGAAATACAAAAAATGAGTCCTGGGAGTTTTGAAGTGCAAATTCACTTCTGCTGGTAAGAAAACCTGAGCGTCGGCCATCGAAAACTGACCAGCATAACCCACTGAGCCATTCTATCTCCTCTTATTTTCGCCGTTCATTGCCGCTCGGCGAAGTTTGTCCGTCGGCCGAGTTCAAGCCCTAGCTATCTTCGATGGCAGTCATTTTGGCACTAAACCAAATAATACTACTTTCATACTATTTTAATTCGTTGTATTCTTATTTTGATTAAAATTTTCATTTACAATGAAAGTTATAACTATCTTATTCTTATGTTCACTATTACTTGAGTTACCGTAGTTTTCCGGTTTTCAAAAAAAAAATTTTTTTTTTGAGTCCTCTGATTGAATCTTATTATTGTTATAATTCTCCATAACTGTTGGATCTGTGGAACTATGGACTGATTTAAATATTTTTTAAGTGACAGCAAGCGGCGTACATAATTCATTCCTAATGTAAGTGTGTTAAATATTCATGTCAATTTTCATGAAAAGCTATTTCGACCTGTACTTTATCCCTTTATGATGCATTCATTATATATGCTCTCAATTAAATGTTAAAACCCTTCGAAAATTATGCAGCGATGGAGTATAGATCATATTAGCAGGTGATTTATTCCAGTAATTAAGGCACGAATGAAAAAATTATGAACTATCAATTTAGTTCCTTAGAATCAGAGCTATTCAAAAATATTTATCTGCTTCAGTCTAAAGTGTTAGTATAGCCGAAGACATCGTAATTATGCGAAGCAATTACTCAAATTTGCCTTAATTAGAGGAAAATATCAAATCAGATGGTTGCACTAAAATATGATCAAGTGAACTCAGTAAGGAATAAAAAATCCTACCTTTATCATTACACAAGGATGGTCTCTTCGCAATTTATCCATAACTAAATTATTAATTTACAGATTTATAGACGGTTTTTTCTCTATCGATGATTCCAAAATTCACACTAAGAATAATTTATTGGACATGTTCCGTTAAAGATTCATTGAAAATCTAAAGGAACGCCTAAAGGTTTTAAAATAGCGAGAAGACGCATGGGATTTTATTTTATGGGGTTCAATCTTTATTGATTGATCTTTGTTGAGAAATGAGTGATAAAAACTTCGTAAAATGCTTATATTCTTAAATGAGCGCAGTTATTAGACGAAAAGATAATCTAATAAGATAAGATAAGACAATCCATTGCTGGATTGTCTTATCTTCTCCTTTTGCTTTTACATGATCAAAATGTAAAGCTTAATATAGTACTTTTTAATAAAAAGTGCTGGAAGAATTTGTCTGTAACACTAGCGGTGTGGCATTTCTGGTTTTCTTGAATAATTGATTAGCAATGAATTGTTTGCCTGTCCGGATGGAGAAGTCCCACAGGATCTTTGACTTATTCACGATTTTATGAGCGATTTCCTATTTGTTTTTGAGAGGTCTAAGCCGATGCTGAGCAAACTTCCTGTAAACATTACCGCCACTTGGTTATGCCTTTCATTATATGCTGTTCCTGCTTGCATCGTACATTCTGCCTCTATGTATTGGACAATTTTCTAAGCAGCTGAAATATGTGTGTATTATTTTAAGTAAAAAGAAGATTCTAATGAGATTCTAATGTTCTAAAACGAAAGCCAAGCGCGACAGCAGGCAAATACTTTTTCGCTCATCTTTTACAGGGATAAACTGATTTTTTCAAAAATGAGCTTATTTTTCGCTCTTTTTTTTATAAGAATAAGCTTATTTTTCAGCTAATTTATTTTGAGAAATAAATTTAAAATGTAGACTTATTAATCTTTGAACATTACTCTTATTCAGTCGTAAATTAAGAGGTAATAAAGGTGTTTTATCAGTTTCTCATTTGTATACAATACCACCAATGATAAAAAAATATTTCTTCGATTATCATTTGCGTCAATCAACATTATCAGTGCACTTCATTTATTTTTAGTTACATATTACCATTTTAAATTGATCTTAAAATTTTAAAAATTTTGTCTGAAAATCTGTCGAATTGTGGCATTTTCCTTTGGCTATTAAATTGTTCACTTAAAACATATATATTAAAGTGAATGCCAGAGTGGTCCCAGTGATAACGGAAGCACTAGGAATTATGACCCATAAACTAGAAAATTGACTTCAACAGATTCTAGGAACGATATAAGAGATCTCTAACCAGAATAACGAACTATTGCTCAGGACCTTTAATCCTTCAAGTGCCTGGTGGAAAACGCGAAATTGAGGACAATCCTTACCACTCAGGGAGCGAGAACGGAATTTTCTTAAATAATACGACTCATTATTTTTAATTTTTAACGTTTCTTAATAAAAATAAATGAATCAGATGTTTCAATAGTAAATTCAAAAGAATTTTTTATTATATTTTTTAGCGATTTTCATTTAAGAAAAATTTTTAAATCGAATAATATTTTTCATTTGTTTTCATTTACTTTTAGATTATTATAGGATATTACTTACCTAATAACTAAAATTTTGGAAAATAATGAAATACTATGAATAATTAATTTGTCTATTAATGGTTATTTTTCTTTTTCTGCGATACTTTTTCCATAACAATCGACATTTACGTGATTTGGGCTGACGGAAATTTTAGGTTCGATTGCACTTTTTTCTGCTATCTTTCCTTTTTATTTCATAATATTTTCTATTTACGTGATTTGGGCTGACGGAAATTTTAAGTTCGATTGCACTTTTTTCTGCTATCTTTCCTTTTTATTTCATAATATTTTCTAAATTTGTCCATTCTTTCGATGTTTAATGTGTTACGATTTTATGACAATTGAATAAATTCGCGATGAAATAATAATAGAATTTTTTTGAGAAAAAGGAAAAGAACAAAAATATTTTCCCGATTAATAAACTTTAATTAAATCCTCGTCGATTACATTTTTTTAATGTTTAAATTTTTAATTTTAAAATGTTAATAATTTGCTAATATTTAAAATAATAAAATTTTCGAATAAAAATTATCAATTATCTTTTTATAAGAAATAAAAAATCAGAGATTATCAGCGATTATTTCTTATTTTTCATTTTAATTTCTTTATTTAATTTTAATTTTTATATCTAATTTTCATATCAAATGATTTCATTCGGCTCTCTATTTCCATCGTAATCGCTTTTTTTATCATTAAAATATTTTTAAAAAAAATTTATAATTTTAAGATTTTGTTTATTACGATAGTCTAAATTCTTCTTCTTCTTCTTCTAATAGCTCTCACCATTATTGATTAGGCTGGCTCCAACGGCTATAAAAGTAAGACGCTTCCAAGTGGTGCGGTCTGATGCCATCGTCGTCAGTAATGGAAGCCATTCCTTTTTCCAACGTCTAAGTCCATGTATTGCTGCTCCATCTATTTGTTCTAAAATCTTTCCTCACCGTACCAGTCCAGGTCTTTATTGGCCCACCTCGCTTTTAATGCCAACCATCAAACGGTATTAGCAAATAACGAAATATGCGTCAACTCCTGTGGTGGACGACGGAGAATATGCCCTAACCAGATTTGTCGAGCGAAGGCGGCACTCTGTGATAACATTATTTATGCAAGTGATATTTGAACGAAGATGGATGCGATCTTGTGATATTGTGATATTTTATCCGCTCGACAGATCCGTAATATGTACCTTAGACAAGAATGGTCAAAGATAACTTCTTGATATCCTCCACTCTCATTGACCACGATAATCTAAATAACCATAGAATATCTAAATTTTGCGAAAAAAATCAGAAAATCAGATAAAATTTGTGAAAACAGATTTATGGAGCGCCAAACTTTAGATTTAGATTTAGATTTTAAATGGAATGTAGGATAATAACAGTTTTTGAACACAAATGTCGCTCGTTGAACAGAATTATCAGAGTTGTTAGATAAATATTTATATTTATCACTTTGTAGAACAAATAAAATTTAAAACATCAAATTAGAATTATTTTCAGCGCTATAAGAAGTATTCGATGAACTTCCAAGGCTCATCATCCTGTCCAATTAGTTCCAAGAGATTTAGGCCAAGTACATAGTAAATACAACTTGGCCAACAATGAATAACTACCATTATACCGTAATATGGGGGCGGAGATATATTGAGAAGCGCCGCGGTTTAACAAAAGCTTCTTATGGCTTTAGATCTGTCGTTTAGTTGATCATCGATGATTTTTAGTTGATAGTGTTTAGTTGACTGATAACGTATTTCTACGGTTGATAAGGCAAAGGTTCCACTGGTAAGAGCGATTATATGAAATGTTAAAAGTGAACTCACTTATTGCTCGCTTGAAAGCCCACTTAATTTATTATTTTTGAAAATTTCTTAATTTTTCCGAATTTTTTTTTTTGATTTTTCCATTTATTTATTTATTAGTGATTATATTGGGGGAAATTTATAATTTATCGTAGAATTATTATTATTTATTGTTTGAGGGAAATTATTATTTATTTATTAAAGCCATATTTTAGCTTAAAAAATATTTCTAAGATTTCGAATAATTCGCGTTTAATTTTTATAAAATTTATTTTAAAAATAATAATAATTTCAGCAGAGATGAATGGCGAAAGTGAAGTGCAAACAGAAGGAAGAAACTCATCCGATGACATTGAAAACGACACGAACGAACAGTCGCGTAATGTGAGTCTTATTCAGTCATCGAAATTATTCGATCTGATTTATTGAAAACCGACCAAGCAGATCGGCAAGCGCCATGTGCTTATATTAATAACAACAGTTAAAATAGCAAATATTGAAAATTAGCGATAAAAAAAGAAAATACATATGACAAAAATTAATAATTTATTGCCATAGCGATGGTTATTGGAAAAGTAACATTTTAATTAATATATAAAAATATGATTTGTAAAATAGGAAATTTATAGGATTCGCCCGAAATTACAAATGAAATTTCGATGTGTCGTATGATTGGCTATGGTTTTGGACACTTTTATAATGATCTGTGCGCGAGTATGTGGTTTACGTATTTTATGATATTTTTAGAAAAAGTTTTGTTATTTCGAAGTTCATTCGCCGGTGCGTTAATGCTGATTGGACAGGTTTTTTTTCATTTATTTTTTACTTTTTTCAAAAAATAAAAATATTTTTAATATTGGCTTATTTATGTCTTCGATTTCATTTCTGATCTATAGTTTTTTTTTCAAATTTTTATTTTTTAAATTTTAAAGCTTTTTTTTTAAAGGTAGCTGATGCGATTAGTACACCAATCGTTGGCATCGCCAGTGATAAATCTTTCATACCATTTTTCATGCTTCGATTAGGACGAAGAATTTCTTGGCATATCATAGGTTTTTCTTACACTTTTTATATTTTTTTGTATTTCTTATATTTTATATTATATTATATATTTTTTTGCATTTTTATTCTTCGTTATTTTTTATTAAAAATCTACTAATAATAACATTCCTTAAAAGATTCCTTTTTTCAACTATTCATGTTTTCATTTCTTTTTTTAAAAAAGTATTTTTAAAATTTTTCATATTTCTTCTGTTTTTTTTAAGGAACAATTTGTGTAACATTGTCATTTCCATTTATATATAATCGTTGTTTATTATGCGATGTTATTTCATTGGATTGGTTACATTTTGCTTGGTATGTACCATTTGTTATAATATTTCAATTTGGATGGGCATCTGTTCAGGTTTTTTTAAATTTTATCTATTCATGAAAGGAATTCTTTTTTTCTGAAATTGTCTGGCTTGTAAATTTTTATAATTTAAATATTTTGCAGTCAGATATAATTTTTTAAGTAAATTTTTTTATAAGGTTTCGCATTTGGCATTAATACCTGAATTGTCCGATAATATCAGTTGTCGTACCACAATGAATTCTTTAAGGTTATATGTTTATTCTTATTATTATTATTTATAAATTAAAAATATAAAAGGCATTTGCCTGTTTTAACATATTTATTTTATTTCCTTAATATTCCAATTTACGAATTTTTTTTTTTAATAAAATGTTTTTCGCTTGTATTTTATTTTATTAAGCTATTGTATATGGTTATATGATAAGAACTTATATAATTTTTAAAATATTTTAATTATGTTGCTAAAAAGGCTTTATATTATATTATAGGTATGGATTTACTGTGCTTGCAAATTTAAGTGTGTTCATAATATTGGCAGTTTTATTGAACACTGTTGATACTGGAAGCGGAATAGAACCTATTGATTTAACGTATTTTAGTGTATGTATTTTTTATCTTTCTGTTGGAATTCTGTTGAATTATAATCGTTTCTAAGCTGTGTGTTTTAGATAACATCGTTTATTGTTGTCAGTGTTGGAATAGTTTCTTCAGTTATTTTTTATATTACGACTAAGGAATCACCAAGATCTCGTAATTATGCTCGAACTAATTCCTTTTCTTCGGATATCTCTGAAATTATTCGTATGTCATGGAAGAATTGGTTTAAACAATTCCAGTTTTATCAGGTGTTTTCTTTATCTACACATTTCTTTTGCTTTTTTTCATTTTTATTTCAAAAATTTCTGTGCATAAATATATTTAGATCGGTGCTTTATATATGCTTTCACGACTTTTTATAAATATTTCGCTAGTGTATTTTCCTTTTTATGTAACAGTCACTCAACAATTAACAAAGGTAAATTTTATATCTTTAAAAATTCATCAAAAAATTCTCAAAAATTTCTTCTTATAATTGTGCAAAAAAAGGATTTTCAAATAAACGAAGATTTCATCTTGTTATTAATTAATGATTGAAAATTTGTCTTTTTTTGAGAAATTTGTGGCAATACTTCCAATGATTTCTTATTTATCATCTTTCGTCACTTCAGTAATAATTAGCATTCCATTTATTAATCGTCATATCAACAGAAAGGTTCATATTTATTAAAATTTTCCTATTTTGTTTTTGATAATGGATTCACTATTTATATTTATTATTATTTAAACATATGATTTAAAACTAGTTTGTTTGAAAGAAATTATCGATTTGGAATTTTTCTTTTCATTTTTTTATCATTTTTTTATTATTTTAGGCGCTATATTTTTTTGGCTGTCTTATTGGTATTACTAATTGTATTTTAATGTATTTTCATTCTTATCGAATCAGTATATTTATCATCGCCATTGCTCTTGGGCTAGCACAAGCCATTCTTCTTGTTACTTCACTTGCAATCACCGCTGAACTTATAAATAAAAATACGGTAGGGAAATGATTTTCTTTAGCTTTTAATATATTTTATTAAAAGGAATTTAATTTTATTCCTTTCCTCCTTCAACTTTTTTTCTTTTATGATTCTCGAAATTATTAACAACACTATTCACAATGGTGCATTTAGGAAAGTGGTGCATTTGTTTATGGTGCTATGAGTTTCGGCGATAAATTAACAAATGGAATTGCATTGCAGGTTATTGAATTATTTAATCCACAATGCAGGTATTTTATTGCTTTATTTATTATTATAAATATGGAATAAATTTATTTAATTCTATTCATTACGAAATATTGGAAATTAGATATATTATTTCGAATGTTTGTGAGTATCCAAATATTTAATAGACATTTTGTTTTCTAAGTTTTAATTGGTGCGAAACTTCGCTCTTATTGGGCATAGAAGCCCTCAGCGTCGACTCTCTGAATTAAGCAACAGTTGAGCCATTCTCCTCTCGGCAAAAATATCGGTTGGATTCGAAATAGGATTGGTTGGATATGAATAATTCTCGATTCTCTGTAGCAGTCCTATTGAGCCATCAATGTTTTCTTAAATATTTATCATAAACAAATGGCATTTCCGTTTTTTACTTGGTTGTTTTTCTAAATTAATATATATAATATAAAATTTTAAAAATTATAAAAACAAAAAATTTTTATATGATTTTATTTATTTGTTTCAAAAAAGAATTTCAGCGGACCAGAAGCTTGCTCAAAATTTTATAAAAATATTATGATTTTTGTGCCTGGAACATGCATTATATTTGCAATTATTGTGTTGCTTACCCTTCTACCTCAAACGGTTGGAAGCAGGCATCGAAGAAGAGGTTATATCGTAGCAAATAATCTTTTTTTTAATTTTATTTTTTCATTTTTCATTTTTTCCCACACTGATTGCATGCTCAATCCTTTTTTTTTAACGTTTTCTGGTTTTCCTGGTTTTTCTGTATTTTTTTAAAATTTATTCGAGAAAAATTTTCCAATTCTGTAGAACACAGAAACAGAATTTTTTTCTCTGTTTGCTTTTGCTTTTTTTATATAGAGAAATACAAATTTTTCAATTTGCAGCAAGAAGGATTTTTCTATTTCTTTTATATTTAAAAACAAATTATGCCTCTGACAAAATCGTTTTATTTTTTTGCTTCAGCTATAATGAAGGATGTTACAAAATAATTGCAAAGAAAAGCATTCATCTAGAATATTCTATTTTATAAATTAATATATGGTAATTTTTGAATATTTTTTTTTCAATTTTGTTCTTCGGGAAAAGAAAACTTTGCATGATTGCAACAAAATGGTTAATTTTGCAGACTATTCGTTTATTTATTATTTTTTTACAATATTAATTTTGAAATAATTGTGTGACTCATTTATCTATTTTATTTTATTTGTAATCTAATCGACACGAATATCTAATAATGTCAAATGGTAAAAGCAAGTTTTGAAATAAGTAGAAAATCATTTAATAAACTGAATGTTCATTAAATTAAATAACCATCTAATTGCATGTGAAACATGGGTTTTGCATTCTTTTATTTTATTTGGATACGTGAATCTTTAAGTTGCTTGAAATTATTGCTTGAAATTCTTTTTCAATTCCGAGTACATTAATTTATTCCGATAGCAGCAATTTCAACAGAAAAACTTTCTATCTTTTTGATTTTTGGATAAATTATGAAAATATAAAAATTTCTTGCTAACCTTTGAATAACGATAATAAAATAATTTTATTTTTAGCTTTTTGAACTTTTCTTAATTTTTAAAAATGCAAAAAGCTAATAAATTAATGTAATTTGCTTCGTTGTTTTTAGACGATGTTGATAGTGAACAAGCGGATTTGATAATTAATAATTCAATGACTGATTAAGAATAGTGGAGATTGACAAAAATAGCTTCAGTTATCGGGTTTCATTTTTCTTTCATTGAATTCAGATGATTTCTTGGAAATTTCATCATTTTGTAATTAAAATGTGATTTCAATTAGAATTATTTTATCTCAAAGCGTTATAATCCATTCCTTTATTTGTTTAATTGTTTTAATTAAATTCATTTTTAATTTGTTTAATGATTCAAATGCTATTTATTTAAGAGAAAAGGCTCAAATAATTCATTTTATTTAATCATTCCCCTCAATTTAAATATTTTTAATAAAAAACGAGATTTATTCTAGCAAACTTTCCTTTTCTTATCAGTTTCACTTGATATTGTGATAAGTTGTTTTTTTGCGGTTCGACCTCACCGATGTTTTTTCTTTTTTGTTTTCAGAATTATTCTATTGTTCCATTTTATGTTTTAATTTGATGTTTTGTTGAAACTTTTTATTTATTATTTGGTTGTTTCCTTTTTCATTTTGGCTTTATTTCGACAAATATCTAATTTCTTATCCGATCCACATCCAAACTTTAGTGATTTCCATTTCATCCTTTTTGAAAAAAGTTTAGGAAACTAATTTTGCTTTTGATTTGGTCAATTTATTATTTTTTTATCAGTTTTGTTTCGTTTCTTTCAATTCTTTTGTGTTATGAATTGATATGCCTTTCATTCATTACCATTTCATATATTTTTATCATTCTTCTTTTAGATCATTCTGTCTTTCACTCTTCTTTCTGTTCTGTGATATTTTTTGAAACTGTGAGAAATTATTTATAATCACTTCATTTAAAAGTAATAAATTTCGGATATTTTTTTGGATGCCAAGTTTTATTAAGGAAAATAAAGGAGACAGGATGGCTTAGTGGGTTGTTGCTTAATTCTGAGCGCCGATACTAAGGTTCTATTTCCCGCAGAAGTAAACCTGTCCAAAAATCCAGGTGTTGCTGACGACTCATATATATTTCTATCACCAACGGACTCCCTGGCATATTGCCCAATGCGATAAGCCAGTGGAGCGAGTTTAACCAGTAATGGTGTGGACTCTTAAAAAAAATTTTAATTCACTTATTTTGAATATTTATCCATTTGTCTGTTTCATTTTTTTTCTGTATTATGTTATATTTTCGTTTATTTCTCAGAGATAAGATAGTTGAGTGGACAGTACCTCAGATTCCCTCAGATTATTAAGAGTTCAGCTTTTGCCTCCATAAGAGCAAACCTTTCATAGAAAAATCCGTATGGTGCTCATTTCGCACCTCTGCTTCCTCTGCTTCTACGGTAAATGGCTCTGTGGTAAAAAATTTCTAATCGTAATAACAATGATAATAAGCGGTCAAATAACCAGAAATGGTGAGCGTTAGCCAAGCGCTTATATTTACAGCTTAAAAATTAAATATGCAATTTATCCTCGAATAAAAAATTCCTCGAATTTTTTTCTCAGACCAAACGATTATTTTTTTAGATTATCGAAATGTTTGTCGGATTTATTTTGTAAAAGTATATCAATGACAACTGGATGAAATATTTGCGTAGAATCAAACGTAGTGATAAGGAATATGCAGTTAAAATGAAAAAAATAAAATTTTGTGGAAATACTGACGAAATGAAATAGTTTAGAGAATGCAGACTTCCATTAAGTTATATACATATTTAACATTTTAAATAAAGAATAATTCCCCTTCTCTCCCTTTTCCCTTTTAAGAAAAATTTCCCATATTTCACTATTGCCGAATAAAATCGTAAATATTCCTCTTTAGCTTTTCTTTAAAAATTTGCAATAAAAAAAATGTGATAAATTTTTTCGGATGATTTACAAAAATTTCTAAAAATAATTTCGAATTTATTCCATTATTATTCATTCACTTATTTCTCCGTAATCTTGGCTTAATTGTCTCTGACAATTCCCAGATGTCGTCCTCGGAAAGATAATTTTTGAAATCTTGAAAGAAATACAAGATCTTATCATCCTTCTCGATTGAATAATTCCTGCAATATATTTACTTAAGATAATTCTTTGATAATCCGACATTTTATCGTTGATATTTCATATTTAATATTGGAAAGGCTTTTTTGCTTGTCACTATTAATAATAAATGCAATTTAATTAAAAGCAATATGTGCCTAAATAAAAGTAGTTTGTCTCTAGAATAATTGAAAAAAATACCAGCTTTTGAAACGCCTTATGCTATCCAAAATAGCGAATTGCTGCCATCGTTTGCCGAAATTTATTAGATTTTTGCAATAATTACAATTTTCTGGTGCCAAGTAATTAGTATTACCAATATGTACAAATGTTAAATCTTGCAAAACAAGTCCTCTGAAACATTTTATTTCGAAAATAAAATTAATTAAATAAAACTAATTAAATTAAATAGAAACTATAAAGATTAAATAATTATAATGATTAATTGGTTTATTATATAAAAAGACTAAATATTAGCGATTTGCTTAATGCTTTTGAATTTTTAAAATCTCATTATTTAGCAGTTCTCGAGCAATTAGCAGAGTAGTTCGAAGATTATATTCCATTCGATCTAAAACACCTATAATTGCTTCGAACTACTTTTGTGAATGCTACATTTGTTGTCTCAACTAAGCAGTAATCAAGGTAACTATAAATTTTTGTAAATCTTAAAATATTAGAAATGATTAAAAATTCAGTGATAAGAGATAATCTTACATATATGGAAGACATGGTGGTAAACTTTCGGATAATAATGTGCGGTAATTTTTGAATGAATGTGAACTATCCATAATACTTGAATGATCTTTAAGCATGTCCAAAGCATTTTTCGACCAGTCCAGACGTCTAATTGGTCCAGAATCGAGCGCAGATAGTATTGCAAGATAAGAATTGTAATTTCCCATTGTTCTCAATTGCTTTAAAGAAAATATCACTCGTTAATTTGCATTTGCATTTAAAAAATGAATGTCATTTAGAAAAAATAAAACCTTCATAATTTTGATGAATTTTATAAGGTATTTCTCGCGTAGCCTTTGTTCGTTTGGTTGTATAACTAAAGTTCTCACCCAGTACGAAACCTATAACGAATTATTATTTATTCATTATTTTTGGAAAAATTAGAAAAATCATTCAAAGTTTTCATTCAATCAATCAATGATCCTACTTTTACTTTACTTCATTTATTTATTTACAAAATTAAGGAATGTAGAAATAAATAAGTTGCCTTCGAGAATTCATTTACCTTATTGAAGTGTTCTGTGAATGAGCATAAATTTGGGCTTTTCTTCTCGTTTTGTTCCATGGACCACCATAACATCTCAGCTGGCTAAACAAAAAAATTTTGTTTGGGAAATAATTGGACCAATAATCGATAAGCAACTATAGTTCCATTAATTAATTTTTTATTTTTAACGGCTTTTAATAGGACAATTCGTCAGAAGTTTTTCAGAATTGCGAAAAGGGAAAAAACACGCATAAAAAGAAAATATGTTAAACGTCAATTTCTTTTTTTACCGTTAATTAATAATTAATTAAATCGAATAAAAATAAATTATATTATTTTTAAGCATTTTTTAAGATAAATTTTTCGATAAATTAAAATTAGACAACGGCAAATATTTAAAAAATAGAGAAAAAGAAAAAATAAAAATTGCATAATTTTTTTTTATTGTTCTTAATTCACTTTTATCAATATATTTTGTAATTTGAACGAAAAACTGCAGTAACCTCGATTTTTTGAAATAATTCGGCATCCAAATAAGTCATTTGCTTTGCAATAGCGCTTGAACGAAATTCAAATAATGATGGCATTCTGTAAATTTATGTTTATATTTAATGCAATCTGGAAAGAAACTATAGAATTTCAAGAAAATTGCGCTCATTCCTTTTCTTTTCTTTCAAGAATATCAGCATTAATGAAGATTTAAACAGATTTCAGGCGAAAAGGTATTTAAAAATACGGTGATTATAAGCGTTTTATGTGAAGAAGACTTTAAATGAGAAAGAAAAAGCAAATATTACTTGATAGTTTTACCGAAATATTGGAAATTATCATTAAATTCCTTTTTATTAGTGAATTTCTGTTCGATTCGTGACATTAGCCTTTTTCTGAAAATTTGAATATTTCTCTTTTTTTTCCAAAAAAAGATTTATTATTTGCGATCAATTTTACCCTATTAATTCTGCTTGGCTGCGACAAAAATGGGATCGTCGCAAAACAAGGCTGAAGAAAGATCTATGATGACAAGAAGAAAGAAAAAAGAAATATATAAAAATATATAAAAATAAAGCAAAATAAAATAGTTAATTCACGGCATAATCTTTGTTAAATTGAAAAAAATTATATAATAATTGATCAAATTTAGTTGAAATTGTTAACAATGATATTATCAGCAATAATGAATTTATCAACCAAATATAATCACTTAAACTTATTTACTTTTTAAAAGTGTTATTATTGTCGAAAAAAGAATATTTACCTTAAAAGTTTAGCGAATGTATAATTTCCATCACCAATAAGACGATTAATAAATTTGGTTATAGTACGAACAAGTTCTCGAATAATTTCAACAGCGCAAAGCTCATCAACTACTCGTACTAACATCGAAAATGATTGCCGTGCAACTTTTACAAATGATTGAGCATCTGATAAACTCATATAAATATATCTGAAGTGAATAGATTTTCGTTAAACTTATTTTATCATTTTGAATAATGAAAGGCTAAATACTCGACTCGACTCGATAAGCTTTTACCTTCTTAATAAATAATTTAAATATCGCAAAATTTCTCAAGTGGTATATTATAGAATTGTTTAGATGGATATTTTGCGTCAATAATTATATTTGCAAAAATACAATTTTAAAGTGTTTAGGCAAATTTAGCTTTAGATAAATAAAAAGAAAAATGAATTGTAGTTTTTTTCAAATTTTTCTCGTTTCGCTGTTTTTTACGATTTTCCCACTTTTTTGTTCAAGTTTCTATAAGTGGTTGCTTTATTTTAAAGTTCGAGTTGCACGAATTTGTGTATTATAATTTTTTTGGGAAGACCAGAAATTTTTAGAATTTTTTTTTTCCTGAAAATTGTAACCTTCGAATTAATTTATCAATTAGTTCAGTGGATGAAATAAAAGTGCGATAAGTAGTAAGGAAAGCCTCTTGATAAAGTAGAGAGCCATTTGGTTGAGTAGCATATGCAATGAGTGCATCGACTGGTCCACCGCGTACCTTCAACATGAAGAGATTTGCTTCAAAATCCTCTATTTCTTAAGTGCTTCCTTAAATAATAGGAGGAATAGGCAATCACCTCATGGGGCTTAGATATGCCATCATTAGCTCTTAATACAAGCCAATCGGTCGAATCGATTTGTTCCAGAACACTTGATGATGAGATCGGAAGAAATTCAGAATATTCCACTGATTCTTCACCAACATTCTCCTGAAATATGATGGTTGCCAAATCATTAAATAATAGAAAACTAAAAACGAAATTTTTTATTTCTTATAAAAATTTTTTATAGCCTTTTCCAAGAGACTTTCATAGTTATTTCCACAAAATTGTCTCACAAAAAAGACTTCGACAAAAAATGAAATTTAATAGTCAATCAGTTTGTTCTATTTATTTAAAGAAAATTTCCTCATAGAGTAAAGCAATCTTATAGCAAACAATCTTAACAATCTTATAACAATCTCAGTCCAATTTTATAAGCGATAAAGAAAGGAAAAAATTAAAAATTATGACTCTCCGAGAATTTATCAAATTTATTAACAATAATATTTTATGAACCTCTTCGTTATCAACAAAGCGTTTCGGCAAACGAATTCGATCGGATTCAGATATTTGTAAAATTTGACTGAGATTCGAATAATCATTTGAATGAATCGTCGAAGCACCTTAAATTACTGTTCAGAAGAAATTCTAAATTTTAAAAATGTTTAAATATTTCTTTAAATAAAAAATAAAATTAAAAGACACATTCGATGAATTCTTATATAATTCTTTAATTATATAATTTTAAAGAATTCTGTTCATGCAAAATTAAACAAACATAACAACTCAAGAAAATATCATTCCAGCAGCAAGTTGATTTGAAGTTGATTAACGAACACGAACATCCATTTTATATATAAATATATATATATATATATATATATAAAGAATGTTCTTTCTTCTTTTATTAAAACGAAATTAGCATAAATTGATGGGTTTTGATAAGAAAAGCCGGAATATCTAACCATATCCAATATGAATATACCAGAGAATAGGTATATTATGACTGTGAGCAATCCTTACAGGATCATAATATCCACACATTTAGAAAAAATATCTTCTGAACAAAATAAATAGACGAATTCAAAATTGGTGAAAATTATTGGATTAAATAGTAGTGTATTAGTTAAGGAGCGTATGCGCATAGAAATGCGTAAAAATAAATTAACAAGAAGAATTAACATTTCTTTGTGACGACGCAACAAATAATTTATGCGAAGGCTAAGGTAAATGAAGAAATTTTTATGATTTTTTTTTGTTAAAAATTTCACGAAATTACTATAATAAGCAGAAATGGTATAAAATTTGTCGATTATTCTAAAATATATAAAACTGAAAAAAACTAAATTATAACAAATTTCGAGAGGATTTACAAGAAAAAATCGTTCATTGTGATTGTATAACATTTATAAATAATGAATAAATATGGTGAGTGAAATGAAACGACTCAAAACAGAGGAAGAAGAGGGGAAAAAAATGACTAAATTTTTAGAGATGATACTGAACGCAATTAAGAATATGGGGCTCGACCGGTTTTATTGTCTCGCTGCAAACGCACTAATAATTTCTCTAATTATTTGCTATTTCACAAAACCATTATTGCAACAAAGCTTACTTTAACAGCGATACTGGCACAGAAAAAGCTTAGAAGAAATTTATATTATTATCAGCGCTGATAAAATTCCACTGAAATAGAATAGATTTAAATACAAAAAATTAATATTATCTCCAATTATTATTAAAATAAATCTTTAAACTTCTTCTCATTTTCATAAATTACTAAATATAACTGAGATTTAAATACATAAAAAATGGCAAAATTCCTTTTTTAAGCTCAATGAATTTGTGAATGAATTAAGAGCAATCAATAAACTGGTACATAGCCAGAGGGTATTTAACATTCTCGACAAAAATTAAAATTTCATTTGTTGAAGTACCTTAGAAAATTTCTTATTCAATTCACTTAGCGAATTAAGTACATTGCTATCCATTTGTGAGCAGTCTTCGCCTTATCCGAACAGTCAATAGCCAACAGAGCTATCAAAACAAAATAATGGTGAATGCTGTTAGAAGAAGAAGAAGAAGAATGCCATTAAAGCAAAATCAAATCAAATCAGATGTGAAATTAAATAAAACAAAATACACAGTAAAAAGAAGTACACAAAAAAGAACTAAAAGAAATCACTGCGACATGAAATGACAATTTGGCACAATTCAATTCTCAAAATACACATAAAATTTCACTTTTCATTTTACGATTAAGTAAAATAAAACGAAAATATTTTAAATTTTGTTAACAATTAAGAAAAGGAATTCATTATTGTTTTACAGTGATTATTAAATAAACTCGAATTTTTCACAATTTTTAAAAAAAACTTCGAAATTCGCAAGCAAATAAGTTTAATAATCACTATGAAATGGCGCATAATTATGTCGACAAATCTTTTTATCACATAAAGTTTCATGAAATTTATTAAATGTAAACTTATATGGTTAGAATTCTATCATTTTTAGAATAAATGATCCATTTTTTTTCAAATGGAAAATTCACTAAGAATAAAATTTGCTGCAGACTCATCAATATAAAAATGGTGGATTTTTGAATTAAATTATTATCAGTTATTAATCAGTTGATAATAAAATTATTAAGAAATTTATTTTAGAAAATAACTAATTCAAAAATTTTCTAATCAGCCAAATCAATATATGCAAAAAAAAAGAAATTTTATAATATTTTAAGTGATAAAAGATAGAATGGAGAAAATAGGAAATTCACGTTTTTTCGGCGTTTCATTTTGAATGATTTGGCTTACATTAGTCTTATAGAACAATAATTTTTCACATTACTTCTTTAATTTTTTCATAAATAAAATCCAACAAAAGATAAAAACTGATATATAGCCCGAGGGTATAAAACATTTTCGAAAAAAATTAATATTTTTATATATTAAAATGTATTTTATATATTAAAAATTATGAAAAATTATGAAAAAAATTATATATTATGTATTTTATATATTATATTTTATATATTAAAAAATACATAAATGAAAAGATGTAATGCTTGAAATCACCTGAATGGGAGAATTCAAACTGAATTTTCTTTCTGTACTGTTCTTCATGATACCTCAAATTATCATTGAGAATAATATATGAAGCAAGGCTTGAACCACGGAAAAAATCATCCTTCTCATCATCCTTTTTATCGCCAAAAGTCTGAAAATGATTGGGCATATCAAATGTAAAGTTAAAAAATACACACAGCAAAACAGATATTTTTTATTCGAAACTGTAATACAAGATTTCCGACAAATACGCATTGATCTGACATTTTCAGATTAATTCCCATTTTCTCATTATTTAAATATGCGTTATTATTTATAAGTGAGTATTGTTAGGAAGAGAATAGTGGACAATGGGTCAGATTATCGCGCTTTACTTCCCATCATTTGACAGCAATAAAGATGAAAAATCTTGCTGACCACTCACCTCATTTTATTCCTCACGTTACTCCTCTGGTAAAAGTTTCTAACCTTATTAAAAGTCATAAGACTTAACCAGAAATGGTAAGCATAAGCACTAACCACCTATTTATTATTACTTTACTCGTCTATGAATAAGCAAGTGAAATATAAATTTAATTTTTAACTAATATAAACCCATATGAAATTTATTTACCTGCATGTACTGCACAATATGTTTTCGCTTTGGTGGAATTGGTGGAGGTGAATTAATATTCGGTAATCCCATTTTAACAATACTCTGTTCTTCATATGAACCACTTCCTTCTCTATTGATTAGATGATTTCCCTAAGATAAAATCAAGCAAAGCTGTAAGACTTGTATATTAAATCATTTAGAATTTATCCGGTAACACTTGCAAATAACTCAGCAATTCTGATTCGACGAATGGAAATTTTTTATGATAATAAAAATTTGGTGGAAATTTAATTTTGAAATTTTATGCTCGAAAAATAAAAGAATAGAAAATAGAAAAAGTGAAAATTTTGAAATATTATCACAATTTAGAAATTGAAGAAAAAAAGAATTTATAATTGCTATAAAATATGGTTTAATCTCGGCTATTCGGCCATAAAAAATTAGATTTTTTATAATATTTCTGTAATCGAAAGCCCAATAAAAATTAAGCCTTTGTACCCTTAAAGAATTCATGCATAAAAAAAATATAATGTCGTATTTCCCTTTCCAAATTCTCTTTTTCTCTCTCTCTTTATGGATGTAAATATGAAAAGTTCGTAAAATTTTTTCGAAATGACCCATTTTTCATTAACATTGTTATTAATGTCTAAAGATCGTTGATAGGTCGTTGATGCGATGATAGTTCTTCGATAATAAACTATTAACCTGAAATGTTTCGATTTGTTCTGCATTTAGTTTATTCGAGTCAAATTTTTGTGCAGAATTATCAGCGATTATTTTTCCATTTCGTTTTGATGTTTTTGCAACATTTCTGAAAAAAAGTTATAAAAAATAAAAGTAATAAAGAAAAAAGAAATCAACCAAGCATATCACATATTAGCTCTGTTTTTTCGGCAGTAAATCGTTGATTTAAAAAAGATTTTTTTTCAAATTTACAAGAAATTAATGAAAATTAAAAATTAAAACTAACTGCGTCGTTTCATCAGAATGTTCAACTTTTCTTATTTTTTGTGAGATTTTCCCGTCGAGGTTCATTCCTTTAAAACGATCACTAAAATGCATTTCAGGACTTCTATCTCGCGATTTGAAACGATCGAAGTGTCTCGTAAAGAAATCATCTGTTTGCAGATCTTCATTAAACGATACGTCACCGTCATGAAAAGTATTAACCACTTCGGCCTTTCCGCCTCCATGTGTCCTTATTGTTACCTGCATGATGAAATAATCTAATTTGTATGAATTCTTAATTGTACTTCCAATTACAACTTAGATTTAGGCTTAGGCTTAGGCCATTTTAAAAACTAAAATAATATAAAATAATCCAAATTTTTAAAAAATTAATAAACTAATAATTATTATTACCTTTGCTTAATCCAGTTGGTAATAATTATGAAACAAGAACTAATTAAAACTAAAACTAATAATTAATAATAACTAATAATAATTAATTAAAAAATAATTAAAAACAATAATTAAATAATTAAAACTAGCAATTATGAAACAAGAAATTTTAATAAAAAATTTTTATTGCAATTCATTACGAAAAAAACAACCGTTATATTTTCAAAAAAATTTTCTCCTCTTTCTTTGAAAATTCTAAGAATTGTATATTTAGAAGATTTATATGTTTCAATCATATTTTTACTTTTAACAAAATAAATAAGTAAAAAATAAACATTCTTTGTGGCGTTGCAATGTGTTTATTTTCAAGAAAATCAAGATTGAATAATTTCATGGAAATTTTGGGAAAATTCATAAAGGGAAATTTTTTCCATCCGAAATCTTAAAAAATTTTTAGATTTTTAAAAAAATTACATGTTTGCTATTTTGTTGCATATTGAATGTACTAAGTTTTTTGCGTCTAATTTCATAACCATCCGATAATTTCTGCACTTCTTCCTCGCATGTTTTCCTATCTTTTTTCTCTTCACGTTCTTCTCTAAAATTAAAATTTAAAAAATTAAGTAAAAATTTCAAATAATCGAAAGCGACAATATGGATGAATGAAAGTTTTTTAAGTCGATGACGAATAAGCAAAATCGTTTTAAATCGTTTAAAAGTGAAAAAGATTCGTTGAATTAGAAAAAACATCTAAAATTTTCCATGAAACTCCCGTTAAACCTATGCCATAAATAAAAGATTCTTTATGTTCATTTATTTGAGTGGCGCTGTTGATCCATCTGTACTTCTATCTTCTCCAGTTGATTCCCTGACGCTTATTGAATTAGGAAATAGTTCGTGCTAACCATATATATTTTTATAAGCCACCTAGCAATTTTGACCTACAAAGAAGAGTTATCAAACCTTTGTTCATCAACTGTCGGAACATCATCGATATCACTGTCATCATTCGGAATGTTCGGGAAAATCGGGTCGAATTTCGC